CAATACGGATGTAGATTAAAGAAATGCTTAATGGGTAGGATGGAAATCTATGTTGGTTTAGGTGGTGATATTAGTGTGTTTTCACCCTCCTCAAAGGGTGTACACTCTGTAGCGCAAGCTGAAGTAAATGATTTTTGGGTGGGTTTAGGCCTCTGGCTTAATGTGGTGAGCTACCATAGTAGCTTGTCAGGTATCTTCCATTTTTTTTGGGGAACCATATCTTTGGAATGATAACTTTGCAGAGCATCATTGATTCAGTAGACAGTGCCGGTGGCCTTAATGTATCTATATAATCTACTGATACTTAAGCAGTTCCTAAGCTTCCCGTGAACAGTTAAGCAGTCTGTGGTGAATGCTGTGTACATTTTTCTCCTGAAAATCATCGTACAGGTGCATGCTGAACTTGTGTAATACTTGAAAACGTGATGTGGTCAAAAGGTGTGACAGTAAGATGGTTTAACTGCCTTGAGTTTCTTAGGATGGGGATCTCTGCCACACAGTGCTGTCACAGTTACTGGGCTGATATCTTTTAAACAGAATTGGAGATAAGCTTAAGCTGCCATGAATTAGGCAGAAAGAACCTAGATAATCTTTCTGAAATTCTTTTCTTGGAAGGATTGAAACTAACTTTCAGAAGTCAAGAACTTGAAGTGTGAATTTTCAGTTGCAGATACCTTTTGTAACAAACAAGCTACCATTGTTCTGTTACTCGGTAGTGGAAAACTTACTTGAAATGAAAGTTTAAAGCTATCTTTGACTTTATAATTTGTCAGTTCTGTAGATTGAATGCTGATCACACCTACTGATACAGTAACTGAATGAAGTACATGCAACTAGAGGTACTAGTAAAAATACCTGAAGTCTCTGCTTTATTGCAGGGTAATTTAGCTTTTACATCTTGGTGTGAAACCTTTCAACGCTGTGAAGTTGTGAATTTTCCAAGAGCTTGTGGTGGAAGTGGGGTGGGAAGGGAGATATTGACTGGATGCACACAACCCTTTGTGCATAGTTCTAACTGGAAACACTGAATAAATTGTAGTTCTTTGAACACGTTTTGCATATTATACAGCAGCAGTTCCGGAGTACGTGGGATTTAACAAATGCAAGTCTTTTGATCGAGCAATTGCGTTGGTTAGGTAAATCACTGGTCATTAGCTTTTTTCACACTTTTTTTCTTCTTGCAATCCAGTAGTGCTCACAATCAGTTTTGGTTACTGCCTAAGGCCTCTGCAGTTTAGTCAGCAGACCGTAGTCTTAACCCCATCTTGAAAAGCACATGGTCTCTATTGCAGCACATGCCATTAACTGGTGAGTAGGCATTCTGTTTACAATGACATTTTATGAATGTCAGCTCATACTTCAGTGAACAGAAGATTCGTTCTCTGGCTAGGCTTATTTGGAAATGAGTGATGTAATCTAAGCTTTTACTGCACTAAAGGTGAGAAGTTTGCAAGCTATTTGCATTAACTTGGTTGAAAATTGCTAGAGCTCATTTGGAAAAGTTGTTAATTCACATCTGCACTAATGCTTACATTTCTAGCACTGCAGGGAGGATCTGTTCTTTGTAACAGATGTATGAGAATGCATCAAGTGGGAACATACCTCAAGGCATGTATTACAATAAACTAATTTTTAAATTACCCTTTTTTCCTTTCTATGTTCCCGGTACCTGTGGATCGGCTCAATGGTGATTGTATCGACGAACCTTGACTGCGGAACCTTCTAAAAATATATACTTAACACACATGGACATCAACTACATATAATGAACTGTTAATTCTGTTCCAATAGCGTCCTGAACGCTTTGGGCAGGGAGGTGCGGGGCCTGTGGGTGGCCAGGGTCCTAGAGGAATGGGGCCTGGAACACCAACAGGATATGGTAGAGGGAGAGAAGAATATGAAGGCCCAAACAAAAAGCCCCGATTTTAGATGTGACCTGTAGTTTCATTCCAGTTTGTTTTTGTCTGTCTTGTTTAGACACCAACTTTTTAATTCTTGCATTTTAGTAAGAAAGCTACGTTTTTATGGATGTTAGAAACTTACTGACCTAATATTTGTAAGTGGTCTGTTTGGGCGAGTACAATTTAATTATGTAATGCAGTGTTTCAAAACAAATTTAGCTGTTTTTTTGATGTATAACGTCCCTAACTTGATGGCAGTGTACCTTGTGCCACTGAATTCCCAAAGTGTACCAACTTTTTTTTTACTGTGCTTCAAATAAATAGAAAACTAAATGTAGTAACTCTTCTTGCCATTCGTGGTTAAACATACGAGGCTAAATACCACACCTTCCGCAGTAAACCGAGAGTCTTGAGTAGAGGTCAAACTAGACCAGGGTGTGGAACTGTAGTGAAGAGTGAGATCTCTTCCCCTAATGCCTCTAGCTTAAGATTGGGTCAGGTAGTACCCTAACTTTCCAGTAGGTGCAGATTTTTTTAGCATTAACTGTGCTGCAATAAGGAAGCAAATGGAAATCTTGCAAGTGCTGTAAGATACAATAATTAACGCTACACTGCAAGCAGTGCAGTATATAATGAATTTCATATTTTAGCTACGGATAATGGGCGGTGGGATGGTAGCACTTACCACCTTGGCAGTTACTGCTTGGAATCTTTTAAAGACTTTAAGCAGAAGACTAGCAATGGTTATTTTAAAATAAATTCATAGAATGACTTGTATTGGCTGACTTCCTAACTAAAGGATTGTTAATGTGATATTTATATGCTCTCAAGCTGTCTGAGATTACAGGATCTGGCCTTGCTCCGTATTGTATACTTGCCTGAAATTGCTTGGCAAAAAGACCAGAAGTGTTACTTGAGTGATTACGGTTAACTTGCTTATGTCCTCATGCTAACTGAGTGGACTAATTTGCATAGTTCAGAATACAATTATTTGTATTATGGGGACTGCAGGAACTATTCTTAAATCATGTAGCTGGTGGGCAAATCCTAAAAACCTGTATGTAAAATACAGAAATTAGCTTGCTTGCATGATGGTTATCGCTCTTTTATTATTGATGTTTGGAGATAATGCATCAAAAGTAGTATCTGAATCTGGAGTTTAATAGTTAATCCTACACAGTACAAATAAACTCCCTTTAAGGTTCTTTTGTAGAAGATTTGATGAATTCGTTAGCTTGCTGTTCATTTTATTAAGCCCCAGAAGAATTTCAAAGCATTCTGGACTCATTGATAAGGTAGTTGCTTTGCTTACTATTACATTGTACCAGATAAACTGGGAACATGACTTCCCAGTGTAAAATACCTTGGTGTTAATGCAGGATACATCAACCTGCTTGGCACAAAGTAGGTAAACTTAGTTTGGCTGTACCTTCACACGATTCCCCAACTACTGAGCATTCTGTGAGTAGCTTTAATCTTCCAAAGATCTTTCCATTCCTTGTGCTAAGCATTGGCTAATTCTAAATTCTATGCTAAATTTTCTCTGCGGTTAAAACTTCAGTGTCAGATTGCAGTATTTTAGAGTGCAGATGATCCCTCTTGAAGTACTCACTGTAAGTGCTGTTACTCCTCAAATGAAAAAATAGCATGTTGTGAAATGCTGATACCAGGTAACACTGACTTGGAATATTAAGCGCACTAAATAGCGACTCAGCTTGTTTGGTGAATGCTTCTTATTTTCCCAGAAAAGTTTGGGGGTTGATAACATGCTACGATAATGAATTGCTATTCAGGAAATTCCGAATTGGCAGTTCCTAAACTGCGGACCAAGTATTTGGGAGTACTTGTATTGGATACTTAGTTTAAAAATCAGCAGTACCGATGCAATTTGCTTTATTGAAGTAGTATTAAATAATGCATATGTTTTCTGGAGGGTGTTCATGGGACACCCGCAAAAGGTGAAGGTGTCTGAGATGGGGAATTCTGAACGTAAACATTAAATTAATTTTTTCAGTTTATTTTTCAGATTACATGTCATTCTTTATTAAAGAGATGCTGGTGCATATCCTAAAGTATGTTCTTTTGTAGTTCTGTAACTTGGAAGAGTGAAGGATGCTGATGTCCTTGTACCTTACAGAGGTTGTCTTTTGGTACCCCTGTTTTGTACGTAAGCTACTGTTGCTAGGTATTAAAAATAGCTGAGTTGCAAAACCATGATTAGCAAATATATTGAAAGATTTGGCAGTTTTCAAAACATCTGAAAGTTTGGTTAAATCTAGCTTTGTTGTAGCTGCATAAGCAGAATTTCTAAAACAAGTTCTGCTTTGAGTTGCATGTATTAAACAGGCATACAATTGACTAGCCAACTTCTTTTCAAGACCTTTTAAAGGTGGTGTCTTAAAAGCTGGCAAACATGTCAACTTTAAAATCTGATAAAGTTGCTAAATGTGGGAGGCGAGAAAGTTACGTTCCTTTGATCTGTTCCTATGAGGTTTTGGACTTTTTTCATAAAATCAGATTTATATAATTGAATCTTTAAAACCATTTAGAAAAGTGCTTCGTTGGTCAGACCTGTTTTTGGATGGTCTGGATCACATGACACATTTTTGTACTGGACTTGGAGGACATTGGCTGTTGCAATTTAGCTTGCTTTATCAAAATTGAGCCCATTTTGACACTTAGATCTCTAAAAACTGCAGCATGCAGAAACTGGTATCGTTATACATATATCTTCACGCTTTCTCAGAAATGAATACAGAATAATCTTATCTTCTGGTGTAGACACATTACACTAATCATTTATACAGCTGATGAGAAACTGAAACTGCTTTTGAGATTTTGTGGTATTTTTGTGGTAGAAAAATTCTTGGCTTCTCCTTGGCAACCATTTACTGTGGCAGCAAGTTTTTGCTGGAGTTTGAGACTGCAATTTACACTTAAAACTAGTGGCCTGCTACATAACTGCACTTAGCCAGCATTTCTGCAGTTCATAACTGTGAGGAACGTAGTACCACAAATGGCAATGGACATTAGGACCCGGATGTAGTATTCCTGCTTGCTCCAAGATTCTCATTGCCGACTGCATACAGGTAGGTAACAAGCAATATAATATAACTTGGTGACTTTCTATGTAATCTTATACTGTGGGTATTCTGACATCACACTTCTGACTGTGGAATTACAGTGCAGCACTCTTCATACCTGTATGTTAAGCTTGCATCAAAGCTGCGTGGTTTTCGGTTTTAAGCTTTGTCTTGTTCAGAGTCAATAAGCAACTTACTGTGATTCTTAGATAAGTATTTTCAGACCCGATTCCTTTGTACATGTGACTCGGCTTGTGTGGATTTTTCTTAGTTCTGATGTAACGAAGATATTCTTAGAACGAGCTCTGTGGGGAAGAGGGAATGTGATCTTACACTCACTTAACTAGTCAACTAGGTGCTGTCAGTGCCTAGAAAAGGACTGTTTAAACTTTCTGTAGTGACAAAGTGGCCCATCTGCAGCACATCCCTCTGTAGAGTCTTGGTTCAGTAGGAAATGCGTTAGTAATCACTGCTCTAGCCTTGTGTGCGCTACGTGATAGTCACTTAAAGCTTGCTAATACAGTCAACTTTGAGACTGATGTGGAATATTTTTGAGGACATACAAATGAGTGCTTGAATGAATCCCTGTGGGTAGTTTCATAGAGCTTATTGGACATTTCAGTTGTCTTTATTTTAATCTTTGATAAGTGTAATACATTCCTCTGCCTTTAATTGACAGTGATGAGATTCTGTATTTCTGCCTCGTAGAGTCATCTTGGTAGTATAATGCTCAATTTCATTTTTCATCAGTCTTGGGGATGTAATTCTAAATTCTTCGTTACTAGAAATACTGAATGTAGTGTTTCAGGATTAACATGCTTACACTTCCAGACATCCAGACATGCTGTTCTCCAATTCTTTTGCATTAGCTCTTGAACCTGAATTTCAAGGTCCCTTGTTTCAGCACATGACCTAGCTCTTGTCTGATGTTCAGTTCATTTCAGAGGTGTTGTAACGTGTTTTCCCGCTTGTTCTGCAAAGTTCTGCTTTGCACACTTGTTTCTGGTATTATTGTCACATTTGGACCCTTCTGTGTTATCTTCCAGGCGAGACTCTTGCTGGTGAACAGGGGATCTGCTGGACAGCCTTGCCCTCTGCTGTAGCTATCTTTTCATGTTCCATTGAAAGCTTGAAGTAGCAGCTACACCTTAAGATCATAATAACAGGTCTTTGGTTACACCACAGTGAGTGTAACCGAACTCCAGCTAGTCAAGCAGTGACACCACTTGTCACAAAGTCAGTTTGGCTTTTCGTGATGCCTTACTCTTACCTGTGACTAGAATTCGATAGCAAAACTGATGGCAGTATGCGTACTGTCGTGTAGCAAAACTGAATTATTAATCTCTAAACCAGTGCTCAGATCCAACTAGTTTTTCCAGTGTGCTCTGGATACTTGACCTGCAGGGATGTCGTGGAGGGGTTACTGGCACATCTGCCTCATTCTATGTACTTGAACTAGCAGGTTTTTTACATTCTTGGAGCAAGCAATTTGTGACTGAACCATGGGTCTCATACCAGCTCTGACTGTCTGCAGTAATGAAACTTGGTGTGGTAGCTAACTTAAAAGCAAATAGTCATGTCTGCTCTAAGTCAGTCTGTAACAAGTGGGTACAAGAAATGACATTAAAGTGCTTGCATTGTGTTTCATCTTGGTTTTATCTGTGTGTGAAATACACTTTTTCTCAAAAGCTTATCTGAAGCTCAGAAGTGTGGTGTCAGAATACATATGCGTACCTGCTAGGCCCTCAGATCCAGATACTGGTGCTGTCAGGAGAGAGCACAGCATAGTGTGTATGGGGGCTTTACTGTAACATTAAGCATACAAAGTGTTGATTTGCTTGCAGTTTTCCCCATAGCTAAACACTGAGGCCTGTGAGTAGTTTTAGGACTTGAGCAGTAATGGGGTTGCATGTCTCTGTTAATCATTGCCAGCTGCAGTGACATGATCAGGAAGGCCAGTGTTTTGTTCCATTATGTTAAATGAGGCTAAGCATGTTGGAAAGGATGCATAAAAAGTATGCTGTTCTGGGTAATTACTTGGCTTCTTCCACTATTAGCAAGTTTGGAATCGGCTAATTAGCTTCAGATTTTTTTTCTCTCCATACCAGCTAGTGGGGCTCTTTAAATAGCTGCTTACTGGAAAAGGAAAAAAAGGGAGGATTGGCCTTCTCCCACCTCTGTCATTGCTGCTAGATAATGATTGACACGTTAGGACTTGGCTGTGCAATCCCGCAGTGGTCTGTGAATACCCCATCTCTATAAATGTTGCTTCTGAACACCAGTACTGAAGAGCTAACTGGGGAGGGTTGGGAGGAGTGTGGCTATAAGTGAATCTGGAGTGTTAAAAGGATGCACAAAGATATAGTATCCCTTATGCATGGTGTTTGTTGCTATGGCATAGAAAACAAAACGTGCATACTACACTTCTGCTCCTGAGGGCCATGATAAAACCCGGGTGGTGGGTTTGAGACTAAACTTGAACTTTGCCCTGCCTGGTCAGATCACATTGTGACCATGGTGTGATTTGCCTCCCAACTAGAGGTGTGCACAGAACCTTGTACTACTACATCCCCAGCTGCTGACCATTGCAGTTTGCCCTCAACTTTGCTATATAGCAAAAGGGTGGGTCTTCAGAAGGGAAGAATCTGTTGCCGAGAATAAAAGCAGTAGACTGACAGTGCTAACCTCTAGTGTCTTCCTTTGGCTTTTGAAGCACTTCTAGGACTATCGAACCTGAGGGCTGCTAGGAGTCAGGGACGTTGCACTCCTTCATGAAGGGGAAGAGAGAGGGCGTTACTACAGGAGACAAACTAGGGTAAAATAGTTGAAGTAGCTTGACAAAATTGTTAATGCCTTCACATAAGGGATAGTATACCTCTGGCTGCAATCAAACTTCATTGTACTCAGACTGGTGATTTACGGTTTGTGCTCAGACAAGGTGCAGTTCTTGAGTCAACTACCTGCATATTCCTTCATCTCTTTACAAGTGTTCAGGCTAGCCTATTTCTGCCCCTTATTCTTCCACTTAATATTTTGGAATAATTTGTAAATTTCCCCTCGTAACTAATCAGTCCATGTATCTTAAAACCTTATTTTTAAGTTAGTTTTGAAATGGTCAGAATTTTCTGTGTATTACTATAATAACTTCAGTTGTTATCCTTTAGGTGAAGATGAAAGCTGAGTGAAACCAGAGTGCTCATCCATGGGAAGTAAGCATAACTTTTAGTCTTGTTCTGAATGGGTGGAATAATAAAGGCTTCTGGGCACTTGATTTTCAGTCACTGAATAACTTTGAATTGGTGAATATTGAGAAATCGGTACGAGTGAATACATGAAATATGTAGGGTAGAGCTTAGTACCTGCTGTCAAGCTGTGGGGTTAAGCACCCAGGCTCCATCTGGGCTTGATATCTTGACAGCAGTGGTTAAAAATACCTGTCTAGACGTGGGTTTGTACAAAAGATATCAAAATCGCCGTGAGTATAACTTCTGAATATTTTTCCAGTTCAGGAGCCGAGCATGAGCACATCCAGCACAATGCCCAGTGATCTGTGGAGGGACCGAGATAACAAGTGAACAAGTAAGTTGTCGGTGTCCTTATACTGCTGTAAGAGCTCGGTAGCCCATCACCCTGTGATGTATTATGTAGTTCCTGCCTGAAATTTGCCCTTGATTAATCTCATTTTTATATAAAATTTCTGAATATTTCTTTTGTAGAGCCGAGATATAACCATTCTTTGAGGCTTTTCAGCCCTGCAGCATCAAATAAACTCTGTCCTTTGAATGCTATAGGTGGTCAAACAAGAAATAACCATTCCTACATTCGGGCTCCAGTGAACGGGGTGTGAATGGGGTGGGTGATGGTCAGTGCGTGTTGTGGTTTAACCCCAGTTGGCAACTAAGCACCACCCAGCTGCTCGCTCACCCTTGCCCCCCCAGTGGGATGGGGGAGAGAATTGGAAGAGCAAAAGTAAGAAAACTTCGTGGGTTGAGATAAGAACAGTTTAATACTTGAAATAATAGAATAATAAAAACTTGTTATGGAAAGTAAAACGAGAGAGCAAAACAAACCACCCCAAAAAAACCCCAAGTGATGCAACTGTTCCCTGCCTGCTGACCGATGTCCAGCCAGTCCCTGAGCAGCGGTTGCCGCCCCCCAGCCAACTCCCCCCGGTTTACATACTGAGCATGACGTCGTATGGTATGGAATATCCCTTTGGCCGGTTTGGGTCAGCTGTCCTGGCTGTGCCCCCTCCCAGCTTCTCGCTGGCAGGGCGTGAGAAGCTGAAAAGTCCTTGACTAGTGTAAGCACTGCTCAGCAACCACTGAAACATTGGTGTGTTATCAACATTGTTCTCATCCTAAATCCAAAACACAGCACTGTACCAGCTACTAGGAAGAAAATTAACTCTATCCCAGCCAAAACCAGGACAGTAAGGAAAAAGGGGAACAATAGAACAGCTGCTTCTCAAATGTTAATCTAACTAAAAGTTGTTAAAAAGCTACTTTTCTGAAATATTTTAATGAACATTGAACTTTGAAAATAACCTGGAAGATGAATTAGCACATACAAGAGCACAAGCAGATAGTGATTTAGGGAAATAAACTAACTTGCAGAGCTGGAATTAATGAAATTTTCCCTCTAATTTACCACTTAAACTACAAGGGGGAACTGCAGATATTTAAAATCTTGTGTGAGGCGCAACGTGCAAAGTACCTTAACTCGGGAGTGACGGGTAAGTAACAGCTTAGATATGCCACAACTGAACCTGCAAGAAACGGAGCCGGTGAGATTCAGTTGGTGAACTCCTGTTGAATCGTGTGTGATTTGTCACTGCTGCTCTTGTTTTTCTGGGTAGTAAAACACAGAGCCGTTTCAGATCTTTGAAATTTGCACAGTAGATGAAAATGTGAATGCCATTCGTTTGATCTCAAGTCTGACATGAGAACTTAGGATCCTAGAGGACGTTTGACAGGTTGCATGGCCTCTTGTGATGCACTGGTTCCCTTTCCATGTCATTACCTGTGATTTCTGCTGGTGTTTTTAATGTTCTTGCTAACTGTGTGCTTTGCACTTGCAGAAGAAGATGAAGTCCGAATGCAGTGAAGACGAGCCAGGAACATACAATTTTTAAAAATAAACTATCTATTTTTTTCTAAATGACTTCTGTTTTATTCCCGAGTGTATTCGGTGAGTAAGCAATCTGTTCAGCTTAATGTGGTACGGATGAATTTGAGGAACACTGCCACAAATGAGGCTGCAGAAGGGGACACAGAACGTGCTTGGAGCACTGGAGTGAGAAGGGCATGGGTCGTTGGATCCTGCTCTACAGTGACAAGCACAGGAAAGATAACCACTCATAACTAATAAACTGACAGATACATAGTACAGTACTTTTTTCCTGCTGGGCTTGTGCCACGGGCTTACTCTTGTAGTTAAAATGCTCCAGTTTTCAGGCTAGCTGTGTTCCTGACCAGTGTGCAGCCATAGGTGCTTTTGCTAAATGACTAGCTTAATTTTTTTTTTTTATAAATTACGCTTGCACCTAAGGCACTTCAAGTATTTCTGGAAGTTTCACCCATTCCTTCCCCCATCTCGAGTCCTGTATACTGCTGTATTTTTAGATCACAGAATTAGAAATGTTGACGTGTGCCTGGTTGGTTTTTAATAGTTTTCTTGGTGATGACTGTAGTAATTGAGCCTGAGATACCAAAGTATAACAAAGAGTTCTTTGGAAGCCAGAAAAGCGCTGGGTTTAGCTCTTGCAGCACAAGTTGCCGTGGTTCACGTGGCTTCATTTGGTTCTTTGGACAGCTGTGCTGTGCACTTATGTTGTTCATGTCATTTATTAAATACAAACCTTTGTTTAAATACCAGGTAGTTTAATGTGTTAAAATACGCCGGCTGCGTTGTGCGAGGTTTTCCCCTACAGCGGCATGAAGAGTCACGAGCATTTGGCTGGGAACTGCCTTCCCAGACTAGGAAGATCAAAATAAATTGGATTTAATGTGGCAAAGCCATATGAAATACTTGAGATGTGTCTGGGTGTCCAGCGATGCAGGATTAGTGCCTGGCTGGAACACGACTCGCCTGTGCTTTAAATCCCAGCCCGGAATATGTTTTGCTTTGGCTCAAGCACTGTTTGTGTACTTCCCTCTAGGAAAGTTTGGCTTACAAAGCAGAGTAAGGTTGGTCAGAACTGCTGTAGCTACATTTCTGATGTCGACTCCCATGTTTCATAGCAGTAAGTGTAGATGAGCAGCCTGGGTGCCCACCTCCGCTCCCTTGGCATGGTGGCCTTGGTCAGATGAGAGGAGCTGCTGTTGGATGGTCAGGCCCGTGGCTGCGCCCCAGTCCTGAGCGTCTGGGGCTTGGGTAGAGGGAAGGGGCCCGGCAGCCGAGGCCAGCGGGGTGCAGGGGTGCTTCGTGGCAGCTGAGCAGGTTTATGGTGGAGAAGGTTGGTGCTGCATTACAAGATTCTAACTGCTGCGTTTCACTTTCTCATGTGATCAAGCCAGCGGGTACAGGATAATCTGAGGTACTTCATGCTCCGATTTGACTTCCTTACGTTATTGTCCAGATCCTGAAAAGGCTTCAGCGAGAAGAGGTTTTGTGGTTCCTCAATAGCTGTGCTGCAAGGGGGTGGGTTTCCAGTCTTTGTCTCCACAGCTACTGCAGGCTTACGCAGCCTTTTTTTCCTCAAGTTCTGTTATTTTCCAGTAACTTGTCCTAATTTCTTTTCCACTGTTGCAGCATCGGCTGCTTCCTATGTGAAACTGTTCCAGCCTGAATGTGATTCCAGCATTCAGCGTGCTGAACTTCACCTCCTACAACTCCCTTTATAAGCAAACGGTGTTTTGCTTTCTGTATTGAAATGGGATGTGGAGAATGGCAAAAAGCCCCCCAATTTCTTCGTCGGCCATTCTGTCATCGCCTGGTAGATGACTAGCACAGAGGTGTTCCTCGAATGGCTGGGCGCCGTGCCGGTGGGTGGTTGTCCTCTGGCTGGCAAAGCCGATCCCTTGGTTCTACCAAATGTTTCATTAAGTAGCTCCTGTAATTAAAAAAAAAAAAATTGGAGGCTAAGAGGTACCATGTGGATGGTGTTAAGAGTCCTGCCCGGCCAGGCGGCAGCGTTTATCTGCCATCGTGTCCTGCTGTGAGGGGCTTCTCCGAGCCGTGGTGCTGTGCCGGGGCTTGGGAATGGCGTGGGCCCCGGAGTGACCCCCGGGGGAGGATGGTGACCGGCGTCCCATCAGCGGTGCCAGTGCAGCCCTGGGCTCAGCCCTGGCTGCCTGGGAAATGCAAACATGCAGTGAAGGGATTTTGCAATGTTTTGCACAAAAAAACCCACCTCTGTCCTGGCTGTGAGTGGGCTCTGTTCTGCGGCGGGGGCGAAACCCCGCTGTCGGAGAAAGGAGATGGTTCTCTTTAAGCTGAAGGAAGATGATTTCTGCGGGTGGGTGTCTCCTTGGCTTGCTCGAACAACAAACCTGGGAACAGTGACAAATGCTTCCTGCGGTAACGCCAGTGCCTGAAGGCACGACCTGTGCTGCTGGCGTGAGGGCGCTGAGCTGCCGCAATCCATTGTTCAGGATGGGTTTGGTCTTTTTTTTTTAATCCTTTTTCCCACCACGGGGCTTTCTGAGACAAGAAGGGCTGGAGCCTGCCCTGGCCTGTTGCTGTTTATCATCCCTCAGCTCGCGAGTGGAGCAGGGAGAAGCTCCTCAGCTGCGCTGCTGCGGCTCTCCCAGCAGAGCTGGGGAACGATGAGCTGCCAGGAGTAAAAATAGCGCTGCTGCTGCACCCCCGTAAAGCCAGGTGGCCACGGCAGCCCCTGCAAGGCAGCAGCGCGCGGC